CAGGTCTTTTAAATCTTTTATGGGTTTGCAGGAAAAAAGAAATGGTAAGCGGTTTCAGAAAATAATCAATAATACATCAAGTATCTTTCTATCAATCATCTTCACGTTTTATAATATTTTAAGGAATATTGAAGCGGGTGAGTGATTTACAACGTTTTCTCTCATGTGTGACGTTTCATCTGCCAAAAGTGTCTATATTTAGAATGCCATATGCTTTTACATATTTTATCATTGTTATGACATGGCTTTGTCTATAGCTTCTGATAAATGGAATGACAAACCTCAACATTAGAGAAAGGTAAGGACGTGGACTGGTGCAATCATCCGCTATTATATCTCGTAAGTGCTTTAACACATGATTAATTACAGTGTCTTGGCTCAAACTGAACTTAAGCTGAAATGATTAGTCGATGACAGAACATGTGTCTTACTACTATGGAATTTATTTAGCAGAACTACTAAATATGTTCTAGTTTCAGCTTCTCAAGTGTAAGTATTTGCAATCTTTCTTTTTCTTAATGTTACAGTAACCATGTACATAGGAAGCTATTTGAAGATGTAAAATGTTTTTTCAGGTGTTTTTGTAATTTGAGGTCATCTTACATAAAGACCTTGGGCATTCTTAAGATACTCTGGTAAGGCAAGGCAAGGCAAGTTTATTTATATAGCACTTTTCAACACAAGGCAATTCAAAGTGCTTGGTACCTGATTTGTCTACAGCAACAGCTTCATGTCTGTGAGTTTCTTCCAACAGCTACAGGGTAGAAGAAGGAATAAACGAATGTATGTATAGTGGATTACACCCATCATGTTTTCCCCTTTTGAGTATACCTTTTCTCAAACTAAAAATCAAATTAGGATAGAACATTCAAAAAAGACTTCAGTCAGAAGGTTTCTCTCTTGAAAGCTTTGAAAGCTTTTTTAGCTTACACACTGTGCCATGACCAGGCACCCTGTGAAGTACGAGATATAAGCAGTGATTTAGTGCTGAGGTGAGCTGAGTGTGATCAGTGGATCAGAGCGGACACAGGTTGTTTGATGCAGTCTTCTCAGCGGCTCCTTTGAATCGCTGAGTAGTTACTTAGCCTGCAGCCAATTCTCAGTTTCACTTTTGCTGAAAATGACAAGCTTTGATCAATTAGGATAAAAAAGGAGTTCAAACACAAAGACACAGCATATTCTACACAGTATATCTGTATAGTCTGTGTTGTGCATGCTGGTTCTAGCTTATGTGAGAAACACTCACCTGAATGAAACTGTCCTCGCAGTGACATTAGACTGATATTTACATATCAACTTTTCAAATATTAGGAATGACTCAGAAGAAAGGGCCTGTTTCTTCAATCTATCAAAGAGGTTAAATAATTCTAGCAAATATACACATTTTTGTATTATTGATTCTTTATTGTACAATGTAATGTATTCATTTACTTTACATCATTTACTGAACAATTGTAAAAGATAAAATGCTTATCCAGGAAATCATGCACAGTGTCACTATAAAGAATACCAACTATATTTGATCCAATTATATTCTATCTTTTTCTGTCTATTTTACTGTTCTATTGTATTCTATCTAACTGTATTCTGCAATATCTTATTCTGTTCTTTTTAAATATATATCTCATTTTGTTCTATTCTATTGTATTCTGTTCTGTTGTTCTGTGATTGCACCGCAGGGGGGCATGAACATCTCTCTCTCTCTCTCGTCTGGCGTCAGCGGTCTCCCAGCAACAGCCCGGCTCGAGCTCATCTTAATCATCCTCTGTTGATCACAACCAAGCCGCACAGACACTCACACTGAAACAGGAAGTCAGGTGGATTTGACCTACAAAGTAAATGCTAAGTGTAAGTGCTTTTTCTCGCAAGACCATTTACTACTGGCCTGTTGAAGTGGTCTTACAGTCTATTATAGAGTAGAGACAAGTGGTGTTGTGTCACTTAAGAGTGGAGTTGACATTATAAACAATATTGTTTGTTCAGAAAAGTAATTTTAATACGACTTTTGTTAACACAATTATTTTAATTGTCCTTTACTTTTATTGTTGAGTAACCATTTTTTTAACATGTGTCGGGCACAGGTTTAAAGGAGTGAAGTGGTTCAACCCTGACCGATGGTCTGACCCGGTGTCCTTTGGCAAACACCCAAGGATGTTTTACTTTGGAAAAATTAAACAGGAAGTCTTCTTGTTACCAATGCTGTGTGATTTGCTCCCAGGTCGGATCAGCCGCAGTTGAGCAGACGAGAAACCATGGAGCGCAACAAGACGCGTTGGAGAGACTCACCAAGCGGACGGGAAAAGTGCCAGTTTGTGATCTGTTTGTAAGTAACTTTCAGCGACAGTGGGCATATTTGTGTTCACCAGCAGGTGGCCATTGAGTGTTCGCTAGCGTGCGTAAACTGACTGGAGAGGAAATAAAACAGTCTTGGAGTGAACAGCAGCTACCAAAGAACGAGAGGAAAGGAGGAGTTGAAAAGAGCCGGAGGAGAGACAAGTGCCCGTTGGACAGAAATGCTCACTGTGTTGTTTTTTTGAATACTTGTTGACGTTGTTTTGTGGAAATGTCGCTGGTGTGCGCAGCGTAATACCCCCGGACAGCGTTCATGCCTCGTGCCATCAGAAGGGACAGTTACTTATCTGCAAGGAAACTGTGAGCAGAACTGAGATTTCATAAAGAAGAAGGCACTGGGCTTAAACTGAGGACCAGTCACTGAACAGTTACGAACCATGGTGAAGTTTCATAACTCGGACCTATGGATAGCCTGGATGATCATTTTCTGCATGGATGGTAAGTTGTGTGACACTTGAAAACTTGTTTGCCTCTGCTCAACTACGAGCACAAGTCCTTTCACACACACACACACACACACACACACACACACACACACACACACACACACACACACACACACACACACACACACACACACACACACACTACCATCACACACACACACCACCACATTATTATAATAATAATAGGTTATACACTTATATGACATTTTCCAAAAGGCTTAACAATTTTTTATCACGTGAACAAATCAGTATTACGATACATGTGGATGAGTGCTGCAAAAACAGATGTATTTGGAATTAAATTGTGCCACAGGCTCAACTCCTATCCAATAGCGCGTGCCACATCCATTTGATCCCCCTCTTCCTTAATACTGTATGTTTGGATCAGTCTGACAAATCCCCGGCATTTCCACAACAAACTAAAGCACCGATTTAGGATGACTTTTCCCTGATGGTTGCGATGTCATCTCTCCCAAAATCACTTTTGACTGTGCCCGTCTTATCCTTAATGCTCTCTGCTGTGCCTGATATCGCTTATGCGCGTCGTACACAACACGAGGTCTAACATTACAAGGTTTTAAAACACTCAACCACCAGCGAATATTAACACGTATGGTGAGAGTCTCCGTGTTTTGAAATAGAAACGGTGCATACTGATTAACGAGAAGCATGGTATACCAGGCAGCTCAGGGGAATAATATCTTGAAACAGAATATCATCCATATAGCCACAATTCTTCTTTGGGGAATTGTATGTAAATGTGAGCGTGGGGCACCTAATAGCAAGTTTGTTTTACTGTAATTTCGGAAGCTTATCTTACGTTTTAAGAATGCTAGTTTTTCACAAGTTTTTGTTGGCATTTTGTAGTATAAAACAATGTAAAATATAACTAATATAAAGCAACATTTGGTATAAGCCCTTATACATACTAAAAGGTTTCTATAGTTTATGAAAGGCATTTGGGAATATTTTAGATTTACTAGAGAACCCATTAAAGACATTCTAATAGTACAATACATGAGCATCATTATTCATGAAAATATGCTGTAGTTTAATAAGGATGCATTATTCATATTTGAAATGAATGAGTTCATTAAACTATCTTTCACATAGTGTGCACATATGCACATTTATGAGAAAAATTGCAAAAACAATGCTAGACAATGCCAACCAAGTTCCCTTAAAGCCTCATGTCAGGAAAACACAAAGCATTCTCACTGAACCACACACACACACACACACACACACACACACACACACACACACACCACACACACACACACACACACACACACACACACACACACACACACACACACACACACACACACACACACACACACACACACACACACTCTGGCCTGACATGTCAATTTGGACAGAACAATTGTGTGAGATTGAATTTAGTCCTGATTGTCCATGTGTTTCACTCCGCTGCTGACTTGTTTAGGTGTATACCTCCAAAGTGAGTGAATGCATGGCGTCTTGTCAGCTTTACTTAAGGGAACACACATACACACACTAAATGTATTCGAATCATTCTGACCGATTGTCTGAAAAAAGGTTCACAATAAACAATTTTCTTTATTACATGTCCATCAAATAAAAAAACAACTTTAGAAATAACAATAGGTGAAGGTTCAAGTCTACAGATGAGTTTATAGAAATAATAAACTGCCCAGCTCTATTAACAGGGCGGCTTGTTAGAAAGAAGCTGTATTTGCTAGACAGTTTTTCTTCCCTCCTCTTGCGTCTTGGTGGGGAGCTGCTTGTGTTTCTATAAATACACTCTGATGCAGCAAAGTCAGTATTGATTGTGGTTGCTTGTTTTGGCTTTGTGTACTGACCTCCACTTTTTGCATGTCAGACATTGTCACTCCATTGATCTGATCAGTTCATTATGTTAGGGGACACCAAATTGTTGTGGGTATTACACAATGCGGCCTGAATCGTTTATTTGATGTTACTTGTTCAACTTAAGATACAAATAAATACGATAGCTTTATGACAACAACTTTTAATAGCTTGAAAGCATGTGTAGCTGTGGATGCACACCAAGCAAGTAAACATAGTGAAAAGAGGAAAGTTTGAAGAAGCAGAAAACGATGAGAAACTATGACAAAATGAAGTCAAATTCACAAGTGACTCGGACAGGCTTCATCCACGGCCATGTTTGTACTTTCAGCGTTAGTTAGAGGACATGTCTTTCTTTAGCCATCAAACCTCCCCAGTAGTCACACATAAATATTGCATCCGTTCCTCTCGATTAGAAATACAGCTGCATAGTGAAGAACAGTCTGGCAGTTCGGATCTGTAGTGTTTGAAGAATTTGAAGAAAGTTTGTAAAAGTTGGAAGAATAAACAGTAGAGGCTCTATGCAAAAAATAGATTGGTTCAGCTGTTGTCAGAACAAACCCCCATGGCGGTACCAACACAGAGCGGCTCTGTCCATGATGCCCGGATTTAAGGATTTACCCAGAACAACCCTCAAGGGTGTTACAGCGAGCGATCCGGAGGTCCAATCAATTCAGCAAATTAAATTCAAGCGGCGGTGGTGGCTCTGAACTTTTTATCAACTATGGTTTGCTTTGGTTTTCTGCATAACAGATCCTATAGAACATTTCAAATGTGTATATATTGTGGCGGTGAAATGTTTGGATAAGCTTCCAGGCTTCCATATCACTGTCCTGTTTGTTTGAAAAAAAGAGTCCAGTGAGGACAAGGAGCAAATAAAAAAGGCAACATTCAGTGTTTCTTTAGCTCATTGACATTCAGGGCATTCATGTCTGCATCAAAGCTTAACTTAGAACAGCTCCCTTCTCCACTTTCTCTGGGAGATTGTTAACCTTTAAGGGTCTGCCTAAAGTATGAAATTATAGAGCAGGCATGGCCTGTTTGTTGTCTAAATGGTGTCCTTTGCTCAATTTGTGGATTTGATTTCAATCAATGCAACTCAATATGAATCAGTTGCACTGATTTCAGAGTTGCAGTCGTGATGGTTTTCAGGCCAAAATACACGCAGCTGTGGAGGGAAAAGCTAAATGTGGCCACTTTAATACCTGTACATGTAAAGCAGGTCCTAACATAAATCTACAATCACCGAAACCATGTTTACTGGTTTCTATTGCCACTTCAAAGCCACTTTGTTTTTTTCCCCAGTCAATTATTCTCTCTAAGTTGCAGGTAGTCAAAATGATAATGAGGGATGGAAAGAACAAGCTTAGAAAATATAAAACGTGTGGAGAGAGCTCAGCATGACATTTTAAAGCACTCTCAGTTGTTTAACCTCAGGTGATCTAGCAGTTAGAAAACCTGGTATCCAACTAAGAACATGCCTCTCAAAATCCTGCTAATGCAGATTGCATATGATAGAAAATCCTGGATCAGTTTTTATCTGATAAGTAGCGTTTTTTTCCCCTCCTCTTTCCGCCTGCTACTAAAAAGGAGCAGCTGGAAGAAGAGTGTTGGACAGATGGAACTTTCCACCTCGATTATTTTTCTCGCTAAAAATAGCTTCTCAAAAAATTAAAAGACCTCTGGGACTGCTAGCAAAGTGCATGTGCGTGCATACATATGCGTGTGTGCGTTTGAGCGACAGAGGTGCAGAGAACTTCAGACGCCGGGGTCCTCAGATGATGGCAGCAGCGGCCAACCTGGGAGTGTGAATGAATAAATGATGGCAGATATTTGGAGGAAGAGAGCATAGCATTTGCCTGGTCCCACGGTCTCTTAAGCACACATTAAACTAGGTCCCAAAGAGTCCAGCTCTGCGGCACAGAAGTTGGCCAAGCATCTGGGGCAAACATCTGATCACAGAGGTTTGGGGTTTGAGGTTTTGGGGTTGGTTGTGCCTTTAATCAGAGGGGCAAATGAGGGAATCATGAGCGTGTGGGAGCAAGGCGATGCTGCTGCCGAAGCTGAACACGTTTTTAACTACATTTGGGTTAGATGATTAAAAAGAGTGTTGGAGAAGTAGAGTGTCATTTCTCAAAACAGAAGATGATCTGGAGGCAGGCTTGTAAAACTTCTTTAAGATTCAGTGTCATCATCTACAGCAGGGGTGTCAAACTCAAGGCCCAGGGGACAAATCCGGCCCGCGACCTCATTTTATGTGGCCCGCAAGAGCTTGCAAAGAATATAATATACAATACAATTGGTGTAATTGTTGAATATTTACTTTCAATTATTTGCCCTAGACTTCTGCTTTCAGACGTAGTTATTTAGGAAGATATTACCAGAACTGATAATAATCCAATGCAGGGACCATAATGTAATATAATACATTATTTAATATATATTATATATTTACATATGTATATTTATATAAATTACAACCGGCCCTTTGAGTGCAACCATAATGCTGATGTGGCCCGGGATGAAATTGAGTTTGACACCCCTGATCTACAGTATAACAGTTAAGGTGGCAAACACTTTGCTTTCAGTGTAAATGATGGCCTCTGTAGAGGAATTATGTGATTGAAGTATTTCAACGTTTATTTTACGACATGTTCGACAAGTTGCAATGAAAACCTGCAGTAACCAGTTTTTTCTCAGTATGCTTGAGTCATTAATTCTCAATGGATTAAGTGTGATAATTGCACTTTTATTAAAGCTGATGTTGGTTAAGAGCCTGCAAAAGGAGACTCCTCCACTTTATAACTGAAGGTATAGTTCCAAAAGCCAAAACTAATCTATGACAAAACCACATAAGTGAACCAACATGCAGTGACAAACTGTTATAGTATTTTGTTTAAAACATTTTTTTACTTAATTTTATTTTTGAGTGTGTGTGATTTTGTGAGGAGCCCTGGGCTAATGCATATTTAAAGCGGATGTCTTCCTCCTGTCGTGGCACCCTGGAGATCCTCCTTGAAATGAGCAGTTTTGCTTCGCTGGCTCTTGAGGTTTGACAGGACGTTTGCTGACAGGACTCCTCCGTCACCTCGTGACTCAGGAGATATTTGGTACATTCTGTTAAAACGTTAAGGACGC